CACTCTAGGTCTCCTCATAGAAGCAGGGGCTGTTTGCTTGCCCAGAGCACTGCACTCTGCAAGGATAAAGCTACAATGCCATGTCATAAACAGGCATGTTTTTGATTCTGTAAGATGGAACCTTCACTCCAAGACTGGTTCACAGTCCCTCTGTGCTGGTATAGACTCTGCGTCTGCTTTGCTTCGCTCCCCATTTCAATGGTACAGCCAGAAAAACTGAGTCCCTTTCAAGTACAGAAAGGATTTATTAGTTACATTTATTAAAAAGCAAATACAAGCGGCTCTGCAGCAAATGTCCTTAGGTGCCGAGTGAATCACAGCTAAGCCCCACCTGCTGATTCAACAGGAAGGAAACAGCACTGAAAATGGAAATATTTGAAAACAATAAAGTATCTTTGCTAAATACAGTAAATTGTTATAGAAAGTATTACAGCAGTTTTCTTTGTATTTGGGGTTAGCTATTAATGCAACTTTATGGGCCAACAGGCTTGACTGAAAATGAGAATGGACCAAAATGACCTCAGGGTTTGTAATGCCATAGAGCAAGCTTCCTGAAAATCTTGTGTTTAGGAATAAGTGTGAATTATAAAACAAAGGAAACTTGCTAAATAATAATGAAACTGTGCAGAACTAAAGCTGAGCCATACTGAACTTAGTGGGGCTGCTCTTTACTGTGTTCTGCAATATTCTTCCCAATCATAACTGTTAAAAAGATGCTAAAAAGCAATTTTGTTTAAGAAGTAATTTACTACGGTTTTGCAGTACTAATCTTGCAGAAAAATGCCACATGGCTAATTTTTTCAGATCTTTGAGGGGAAATTTCATGTTTGGAAAAAATTCCAGTTAAATCAAAAAAGAGATGGATCAGACATAAAAGGAATAATACAGGACTAAAATAGAACACCATTTCAGAAATTTTATTTTTTTCTAAGATCAAACCTACAGTTACAGGATTGAACCAGCAACTTTACACTAGTATTTAATAATACTTATAGTTGTAGGATTTCTGTCCCTATCTCCATCACCTACACACTGAAACTGCAAAGGGCCATATATGGCCACGCTGAAGTTAGACTTCCCCTCCATCTCAGAGATCTTGCTGATCTAAAAACAACCAGGCAAAATATTCAACAAAGAAAAAAGTATTCTTCCAACAAAAATATTTTAAGCCCTATCAGTCATGCAATGGATGATTACAGAATCACAGAATAGGCTGAGTTGGAAGGGACCCGCAGGGACCACCCAGTCCAACCCCTATCCCTGCCCAGACCCTCCAACAACCCCACCCTGGGCATCCCTGGCAGGGTGTCCAAAGGCTCCTGGAGCTCTGGCAGCCTCGGGGCCGTGCCCATTCCCTGGGGAGCCTGGGCAGTGCCAGCACCCTCTGGGGGAAGAACCTTTCCCTGAGATACAACCTAAACCTGCCCTGACACAACTTCAGGATGTTCCCACAAGCCCTATCACTGATCACCACAAAAAGACATCAGTGCTCCTCCTCTGCCACTCACAAGGAAGTTGTTGACCCCAGTGAGTCTCTCCTCAGCCTCCTCTTCTCCAGCTGAACAGACCAAGGCTTCCCCTCCAGGCCTTTCACCATCCTCGTGGCCTCCTTATCCCTAATGGATCCTTTGTACACCTCCTCAGAAGATACTCTGTGGTTTATCCTTCAAAAAAACATCAGATCACTGGTTCAGCTTAGCACTGACTCAAGAGAGAAAAACCCCTACTCTGGCTCTGGAATGAATCATCAGTTTCATTTCCCATGGAAATTTCATTTTGAGGAGAGGGGGGAAATGTTCACCCAAGCACCAGCCCAGTGTAACACTAACTAGTTTGTGAGAACTCTGCAATCACCTGCTGTGGTTGCAGGCAAATACAAAAAAAACCCAAACAAACAAACAAAAACCAAAACAAACAAACAAAGAAAAAAAACAAAAACAAAACTGTTGCAATCATGTTGACTCCTGAGAGCTATAAAAGTTAATACTAAAAAAGGGAAAAGTACAGTTTGCTGAGGGCCAAGCACTCTTTTCCTAAAGCTGTACTGGTCCACGATCCAGTTAAAATATTTCTACTCATTAAATTACTGTAAAATAATCAGCACACCTCATGACTAAATTTGTGAAATGAAGGAGTAACTTAAATTCGTTCAAACAGCTATTTAAATAGAAGTTTGCTCCCGTATAATATTTTCTTCCTTGCATTATTACTACTCATTCCAGTCATTTGGTCTTACAATACTATTACTCACAACTGGGCTGTGGACTGTCTATTTTGTGTGGTTAACACACTATTTGTTTACTCTAGCTACTTAAAAAACATGCAAGCAAAAACTTAACACCAAGAGTATCAATATTTGGAGTATCTAGAACACTCCAAATTCAGTTTGATATGCATAATGAGAACATACCATTTTAGGCTATATGCAGCAAAACAATTTCCAGTTCCTACAGGCTGGTTACTTGCAGTATGATGCAAAGAAACTGCCATGTTTCAAATTACTTTCATGTTCCAAATTACTCCTGAATTAATACATGGACTTCAACACATTTTTAGGAATAACATGATTAAAACCGTTTATTTCTACTATCCAACTCTCGTTCACCTTTTTCATAGCTCTTCTTTAACTCCTTCATCTAGCACATCCTGTTATCTTGGAAACACTGAACTAGACTTTACAACATGGTAGACGGAGAGTGTTTCAATATGGACCATGAACAAGGAAAGCAAGTGGATGAAAAAACAGTTATAATCTGTATTTGTATGAACAGATCCTTTTAAGAAGAGATGAGATACTTCTGCCAGGTGTAATCACACATATTAGTCACCGAGGTGTGCCACACCAGTCCAATCCTAGAGGCAGGCAATTTCATGCTTCCAAAAGCCTGACATCTGCTAAAAAAATGTATTCCAATGAATGCTGGAGTAAAAATAAACCACATCAAACCACTGTGTGACCACTTGTTCAGAACTACTGAGAGCTTAACTGGTCTTTTTAAAATTTTTATGCTTTGATTGCTTTGAAGGTAACAACCACAGCTGCATTTCATGTCAGCTCTTCTGTATGAGAAGGTAGTGGTCTGTGGTGAAGGTGTGCAAGAGAGTTGGTTTTGAGGAGAGGACAGATGCTGGGACGGGCGGCAAGGAAACAAGAGTGACCCGTGTTCCGATGCCTGTGAGCATTCCTCAAAGGAGACGCACTTTTGACTCCAATACAGAAGATCCAGGCAGCTGCAGATGGTCTCTCCAGGTTTAGGTGGCTGCTGAGCTGGCATGTACTTTTGTTTGTGGGAATTGTGAACACTGACAGACTTTTTAAGCTATCTTCTATTCAGATATGGGTTTTTGAAAAATCTCTCCCCATCTGCTTTACCTTGCATATACTTTGTGTGTGTGTGCATGTGTGTGTGCATGTGTGTGTGTGTGTGTGAGAAAATTTGAAAAGTGTTTATGGAGTTCACTGAAGTGCCACTGTATACACTTAAAACAATGGAATAGCATGTCTCACTGCTTATTCTTTATATGGCACTTACTGAGAACTTGAGTTTTGATGGGAAAGATGTAACAAAATGAGGGTTGCTTGCAACTGAAGATGAAGTAAAACAGGAAAGTTGCTGAAAAATTATTGGAGCAGACCACATTGGGGAAAAAAACCCCATCAAGAGTACTTGTGATGCAATCACAAAGCTGCGTCAAGAAAATGAGAGAACTCCTGAGAAGTGAGAGGTTTAGGAAACCACTCCAGACCACCAGTTTGATCTGCATATCCCAGCCTTGATTAACTTTAGGTAGGATTTCCAGGATTTATTAAAAACAGATTTTTATTTTTCTTTGTTTCATATCCATGACTCCAAGGGTTTGTTAGGGAGGGAGGGTTGGAGGAAGGACAGATGTGCTACACAATCAGCCCAGTCCGTCTGTAACCAGTACGTTTTATCAGTGACACATAAGAGGGTTTAGTACAGCGGTTTCTGTGTGGCAGAGACTTAGACTGGAGTAAGAGCTGCCTTTAGAGTTTAGTCCTTTCCAAACAAGATAAAAGACACTCTTTTCCCCATCTGTTTTCTTCAGATAACTGGCATGGTCTGCAAACATCCTCTATACTTTGGTCCTCTATACTTAAACAGAATGCGGATGAATACTTCCCAGAGAGGATGTCTGGTCATGTTTTGACGACACATAGTATGAAAAAGCTGGGTATTCTTGTTTTTATTTTGATTACTGCGTGGAAATTAACCATACAGGCACAACCACTTCAGTAATTCCTCCTAGTTTTGTAATTGCTTATTCTGCGCGGATGTCCCGTGCCCCCCGCCAAGCCAGGGTGGGCAAAGCCCTGCCGGTGCGGCGAGCTGCGGGCGGGCCCCGGCCGAGGAGGGCCCTGCTGGCAGGCGGCAGCTGCAGGAGCCGGGGGCGGCCGGGGATGCTCTGCCCGGCCCTGCCCGGCGGCCTCCCAGCACGAGCGGCGCGGGGTGCGCGGAAGGCAGGTAAAAACGCAGCAATAAGGCAGGTAAAAACGCAGCAATAACGGAGCAGCACCGACCACCACCGCACCTCGCGGAGTCCCCGTCCCGCCCGGCCACGGGAGGGACACGACGGGATGGACACGGCGCCGGGAAGGGCGCGGGCGCCGGGTCCCCCCGCCCCGCCGGCCCTGGCCCTCACCTGCTCCTCGGCCGCCGACTCCGCGCCCTCCGCCGTCCCGTTGAGTTCGTGGGTCTCGCTGCCGGAGTCCATCGCGGCCGGCCGGGCCCCTGTTGTCCCGGACCGGGGCGGAGGGGAAGGTTCCCCGCGGAGCAGCGGCTCCCGGAGCCGGCCCGGCCTCCCCGCACCGCGCCCGGGGCCACTCCCGCCGCCGGGGCCGCCTTCCCCCGGCCTACTCCCGCTTTTCTCCCGCTCTTCCCCCGCTCTTCCCCGCCTCCTTGCCTGCCTCTCCCCGGTCTCCCCCTCCCTGCCCGCGGGCGGAGGTTTCCGCGCAGGGCCGGGCCGGGCGGAGCGGAGCCGAGCGGAGGCTGCACCGGCACCGGGGCCGAACCCAGCCAGCCCGGGCTGGGCCGCGGCTCCCAGCGCTGGCCAGGAATCACGCTGCGTATTATTCTGTATGGAGGAAATCGGTAGTGGATGCAAATGGCTCATTTCAGAAACCTGTCTTGACAAAGTGGAAGGCTAGAGTTTGATTTTTAAGAGCTCTCTGATCAGTGTTTTTAGGGTTCAGTCTTTTGGGGTTTTTGTGTTTGTTTTTTTTTGGTTTGTTTGTTTTTGGGTTTTTTGTTTTTGTTTGTTTGTTTGTTTGTTTGTTTGTTTTTTGTCCTATGTGTTGTCCTGTATATTTTGTCTCCCTATGCTTATTTTTAAGAGCCTTCTGATCAGTGTTTTTAGGGTTTCAGTCTTTTTTTTTTTTTTTGTCTTATGTATTGTCCTGTATATTTTGTCTCCCTATGCTTATTTTCCCACCTCTGCTGTGACAACAAGCATGTACAAAACCAGTCAACATACAGGATGGGATATCAGAGGAACACTCAGATGTATAGAAACAACTGCCAGCGAGAGCAGAAAGGTAAAAAATAAATGTAAGTAATTGGGTTTTATATGACCACATGTAATCTCTTTTAAAACCTGAACTGCTCATCTGCACCGAAAATGTTCCTGAGTAGTTAGTAGTGCAGTAGAGTAGGAAACACTTGATTTGGAGAGAGCAATAAAGTTTGTTGTTACAGTCCATAGAAAATGGAAGAAACAATGTATTATGACAGCAAAGATGTATGTGTATAAATGACACTGTTCATAACTAGTCCAAGGCTTAAAAAGGCACATTGTTTTCCTTAATTTTTGGGTTTGTGGTAGCTAAACTTCAGTAATACACTCAGCTAGGCCAGCCTTTATCAGCTATATTACCTGTTCATTTAACAGTCATTAAATACGCATGAACCATAATTGTTGCTGCATTTGGATCCCAGGACAACTTGGTCAGAAGCCTCTCTGGTTGCAAGCGTCCAGCGACATTTTCAGAGATACGGCTATATTTTTAATGACCCCTTTTTCATCTTCTGTACCTCCTTGCAAATGCATTTTGAGGATCTTGTTTGGAGTTGTAAAGGCTTGATGTGCTCTAGTGAAATTATTCTGCCCTTAGTCCTAGAAATGAGAGGTCTGCTCTTTGGACATGACCTCCTGAGTGCTAACTCCCTTTGTGCTGCACAGTTGTGCCAAAGAGACGTGAGAGCAGGACCTGTTCTTAATCCTGTGGGAAATGGGTGTGATTTCAGTGGAACTGGGAAAAGCTGAATTTGTGTTTGTGAGACATACAGTCTGAAACAGTAGTTCTCTGTTGAAACTTTGCATTTGTCAGTCCAGTATAATTTTTTCAACAATAAAATTTCCTGTTATCCGGCCTTTGAGTTAGTTCTGTGGGTTGAATCTGGAAAAAAATCTTTTGCTGCTTATGGAAAAGACCCTGTGCTCCCTACGTGGAAATAACCTCAGACTCAGACTGTGGTCAGAGAGAGGCAGAGGTGATGTGATCAGCCTGCAGCCGTGGAATGAAACAAGGCAACACTCTGGTAGGTAGGTCTTGTTTGCGTGTCAATTACAAAAAGAAGCCTGCAAGTGTTGTCACAGGAGTCTGAGTCAGGGGTTCTGGTTGGTGTTTTGCCAACCAGATACTGGAGGGTGCACAGACAATCCTTGGGACCACTGTGAGAATAGCCATTAAAATCTGTATGGGAATATTGAAAACAAAAATAAAACCCCACTGCTCTGCATCTTAGCTGTGAGAGGAATTTCCAGTCTCTATTAGACTGTCAAACTGTTAGTAATTATGAACCATTTTGAGGTTTTTTTCCCTCAAAATCACTCTGATGACTATGTGACAGGCACAGAATGATCATAAGTGCAGAAACAATTAGAAAGGACAGCACTTCTTTGAAATGCTCCAGAATAACTTGAACTGCAGGGCTGCCTGGCAGCCCCAGGAACAAACGGTTATGTCAATGTCAGAGTCCTGAAAGTGACCTGAACCTTTTTATTTACTCTGAGCTTTCCCGAAAAGCCAATGATCAAGGCAAGGGATAGTGCCCTTCCTTCCTAATCAGTAGGACCAGGAAAGACATTGCAGAATATTTTCCAGACATTCTAGAAAGACATTAGTGGAAGGTTCCCTGTCCATGGCAGGAGAGTTGTGACAAAATGATCTTTGTGGTTCCTTACAACCCAAAACATTCCATGTTTCTGTGATTTTGGTTTTGCCTGCTCACATGCAACTGGTGTGGGCTTAATACCTGAAGCGCATAAGGAAATTTCCAGACTCTGTTTTTGGTAAGATAAGTTTCAGCAATCACATTTCTCCATTTTGGATTTAAAATCTTGAAGCCCGTGATTAATTTTTGGTGGTTTTTTGGTGGGTTTTTTTTTTTGTTTTTTTTTTTTTTTTTGCTTAAGATGTGCTGCCTTGCTTGGCACACACATGTTTGGAACAGACTTTCTGAGAAAGAGAAGGCTTCCAGCAGTGCTGGACTTGTGCCAAAAGGAAATGAGTAAGCTCCTACATAGAAATAAGCAGAAGCATCTATGCAAGCAGTTTAGCATTAAAGTGGGGATGTCTGGAGTTTGTGAAAACGCTCTGACCCAGAATATACAATTTACCAATACTCTTTTGGATTATTTTTGATGCATTTAGAAGTGTAAGGCAGTTAATTTTCTCTGTAAAGAGCAAGTGCTACCCATTACACAAAGGACTTCTCTGTGCTCACTTCCCCTGGGCTTGCTGCCCTCCACAGTCACACATTGCTGTGCAGTGTGCTGTGTTCACAGCACATCAGCTGTACACTCGAATCAGCCTCTCAGCTGCTCTGTTCTGCCTCGTACAAACAGCTGTTCCATAGTCTGGAATGCTGGCTGCTGTTTGGTGAGCAGCCGACGTGCCTGCAGTGCAAATGTCGGTAAGGCTGTGCCTGGCGGGACTGATTTTAGGGAGAAGAGGGACCCGATGGCTCCAGGCTCCTCTGAAACGGAGGTGGCTGGGAGTGCTCATGGGTATGTCACCTGAATGTGAAGCACAAATTTGCAGCATGGCCACGAGTTGTCTGGAGACCATAGAATTGTGCCTGGGCCCGGCACGGCATGGCAGCGTGTTGTCTGACTCCAAATCTCATGTTCAGAGACAGCTGTGTTCCCCCAGCCTGGCCCTTTACACAAATTATTGGCATTCCTCCCTGGAGGGCCTGATGACCCGTTTTTTACATATTTTTTAGACAGTGATGACAGCTTGCCAGGTTGTCAGGTGATTGTACTGTTCTCTAATTCTGGAGCACACTTCCTGAGGAGATCTGGCACTCCTGGTTTAAGCTTTCTATTAACTCCCTCCTGGAACGCCTGCTTTGGGGTGTGCTTTTACTGCTGCACCTTCCCTGCTTCAGCGAGTGTGACAGCACAATGCTGTCTGGGAAACTAGGTACAGCCTTGTACTTAAAATGGGAAAGAAATGTTAGGAGTTTGGATAGAAGAGACTCAATAGCAGGAAATAAAGCTCCTCTTTTTATCCTTGGTCTTAAAGACTTCATAACTTTTATACTTTCTGGCTGAAATTGCATAGCTTGGTCTATTTCTGTATATTAATTTCTTCTTTCAAAACTCCTAGTAGAATCTCTGCTCCTTTTTTAACCACAGCACATATATATTTACACACTAGTAAAATTAGAGGATGTGGGTTTTTTGCAAAATTTATTGAGGAAATTGTAGAGTTGAAATGAAATGGTATATAAAGTTGCAAATTTGGCATGGTAAGGCTGGTCTAAGAGTTCTGCTGTGCTTGAGCATTGTCTTTTTAAAAACTGTGTGTTAATGATTTCTCTTAGATGGTAAAGTGTCTTGCTCAGAAAATCACATTTGCCTGAAGCTGTGTAACTTAGCGATTTGTTACAAAATACACAAACAACACAGTGTTTAGGAGGCGGTGGTGTGTTTTTAGAGGACGTACTTCGCTTCAGTGTACTTCAGTTCAGAGGTGCTGAATCTTAATCTGGGTAATGAATGAGATCAGGAATCCATTGCATTTATGTTCCCAAACTGTGTTGTCATTTCATTCTAGCCAACAGAACTTTCTGACGATCAATAAATTATTTTATAGATTTTATTATATCAAGTAGATGGAGAATTATATAAATACATCTATGTGCAAATCTGGGATTTAATGTTTACTTTTGAAAGGTGAATTTAAACTTTTTTCATCAAATGTATAGGCAGTGATAGGTCAGAATTGACCCATTTGCAGTAATACACCCCAAAAGAAAGAATTCAAAGAAAAATCAAACCTGATGTATTTTACAGGGTTGTGCAGAAGTGCAGCAGTGGTCTAGAAGAGGGTGTGGAAGGAGGTTATCTGTAAACCAGAGTAAAGAATGCATCTATTTAAAATGCCAGGTCTCATTACAAGTGTGAATCTGAATTGTCCCACATAGCTTGTCAGCAACCAGGTAAATAAGAGAAGAATCAAACCCTAGAGCTGCTGTTGGGAAAGGGTAATTCAATGAAAAGGCTAATCTAGTTAAATGAAAAGGCCTTTGTGTATGGAATTACTCCCAAATGTAAGTCATAGCACAATGCATGCTATTGAAATGGGTTTTAAAAAAATGGGTAAGGAAAAAAGGAAATAAATGAGCTATTCAAAGGGTTCTTTTGTATCAGACTCATGTTTTCAGGAGCTGTTCCCAGCTTCCAAGATGTACGGAGAGAGGAGGGAGAAAGGAAGGAAGAAAAAGACATTTCTCCACAAGGCAGAGCACCAGCTCTGCAGGTGACAGCAGTGCTGAGGCCCCCAAGAGCCCAGGCACCTGCCCTGCCATGGCCCAGAGGGAAGGCATGAAGAAAGCAGCCTTCACTAGCAAGGTGCAGCCCGTCCCCATTTGTTGTGGTTTTGATTAATATTACTAACCTTAAAAACCCACAAAAAACAAAACAAAAACAAACAAACCACCAAAACAACAACAAACACCAAAACAAACAAACCGACCAAAACCAAACCAACACCCCCCTCCAAAAAAAAAAAAAAAAAAAACCAAAACCCCCCCCAAAAAAACCCAAAAAACCAGGTGATGTTTGCCAGCTATCCCAGTTTTGCAGCATCAGTCAAGGCTTTAGAGCTGCTGTGCAGCAGTAGGATTGTGTCTGTGAGCAGGGCTGGTCCCTTTTGGGGTTTTTGTGCTCTTTCAAGACTGAGCTCATGTTCCACAGTGTGCAATGGGGTAAGTGTATGTGCATTGCATGTACCCATAAATACTGCAAAATAGGCTTGTGAGTGTGACTGATGTGTGCAACATGGGAACTCACATCTCTGGAGTGTACAAGCAGTGGGTCTGGTTTTGTTCTCTAGAAAGAGTTCCTAGTTAAGGGGTTTTTTTTTCCAGAATTTCTGATAGTTTTTGCTAGATTCTCTTGATAATCCAGGTTGAAAGAAACATCAGGAGGTCAGCTAGGCTAACATTTTGCTCAAGTAGGGTAAGCTGTGAGGTCACACTGGGTGATTTAGGGCTGGCTCATGCTCATTGGCCTTTAAGCATTTTTTGGTAGTTTCTTTATCATGATAATATTCCAATATATGAATTTGCAAATATAAATTTACATCCCTGTCATGCTTTCTTTTGCCAGATTCATAGACAGAAGCTTTTTGAAAGTGAAGAATTTGACAGTATAACTTTTCATTTGTTTGTTTGGATTTTAAAGAAAAGCACATTAAATCCTTAGGTCTGGATGATTTAAAGTGACCAGATAGGTACCAAACACAGATTGTTGTTGACTATTGACACACAGTTTAAAATAATAAGAGGAAATTCAAGCCCAGATGGAATTTTATGGCCAGAAATCACTATTGTGATAATTTTGCTTGCATTTCATGCAGGACCACTCACAGTTTGCCCATTAGCTTGTGGTTGAACCAGAGAAGGATAGTTGGCTTTGGTGGAGTCCTTGGCATCACTTTTAAAGCTAGCATTAAAAGAACTTGACGGCTTTGGGATGTGGTAAAATCTCAGCCTACAGACTAGACTGGACTGAAACCATTAAATATGATACATAACGAAATTTTAAAATCTGTTTCACCTCAAAGTGCTGAGTGGCCTCAGCAGAACCTGTAGACATTAGTTCTGCCTGTGGTCTGAATTCCCCTCTGCAGTTATGGTGAGGGCTGCCTGTAAAAATACAAGTTTTCTGGTGTTTACTGGCAGACTATCAGAAAGACATTGCAAATATTTCTCTCTTCTGGTTCATGTCTCCAAAACCTCATATATACATAAGGGCTTTTTCTTGCAAGACCTGTTGCCTGATGAAAGCAGCGCCATCTGGCTTTGTCTTCCTTTTTTTCACCAAACATTTGTTGCAGTGT